AAATTAGAGTGGCTTCCTTTCATATATGAAAAAAAATTAAGAGACCACTTTAAATGATCAGTTTCTGTGATTTTACTTTTCAAAGGTAAATGTTTGAGTAAAATGAACATTGTTCTTTCATTCTATGAACTATTGACATGTCTCCTAAATTACAAGCAAACATTTTGCATTTATTTGCAGAAAATGACAAAGATGATGCAGCGCTTCCAGACTTCAAATAATGCAAAGAAAACAAGCTCATAGAAACAACAATACTAATGTTTTAACTCAGGAAGAGTTCAGAAATCAAGATTTAGTGGAATAACCAAAAGGTTTTCAATGGGATTCAGTGCAAACTCCATTTTTTTCCAGAGCTGTATCTAAATAAATGTAACTTTCAATCTTTCTATTATTTACTGGATGCTTAGATAATCAGCTAAAACATGTTTTTAAATAAAACATTTAGTCATATTTTTTCTTGGTTTCTGTTTAGGTGGAAGACATAAATTGAATTCATTTCTTCTTTGTGTAAGTATTGGAGAATAAACTGTATTATAGTTTTAAACACCATTAGATTACTAAAAAGCAGTTACTGCTTAATGTCAGGTGGAAAAGAAGAAATTTTAGCGTTTAAATTTTATATATAAACTAAATGCTAGTTATATATTTTGTGCAAACATTTAAATCAGAATAAGTCACGTCAAACTTTCACAGAGGAGCTTAGCAGCAGCAGATCGGATAAATGGATTACCAGACGATGCTTTGTTTTAAACTTTTGAACTCTCAGCCTCTATCAGGCATGAATCTGAAAATACCAACAGCCTGCTGAAATGTTTACATCCAAGGAAATAAACAAAAGGTCTGTTTGTGGGTGAAAAATGTGATAGTTAAATTATTGGGTAAAAAAATAAAATAAGCTTTTAAATAATGCAGTTTGTATACATGACTGAGACCTTTCTTAAAAACCACTGCTATGGGCTCTTTGCGCGTCAGCTTCGGGGAAAAGTGGCTCGGTCGTTTCCGGTATATAGAAAGTGGCATTTTACACTCTGTGCTTGCAGGGCTTGGCCAAGGTAATAATTAATGATATACATCGATCCGAAACTCCAACAAGTAAGCTGGAGATAATCTTTGGGAACCACTGGCTTAACAGTAGAGCAGTTCTGGAGTCAGTATTCCAGTTCAGCTGACTGTTCAGGTTCAGAGTTGTTGCTTTTAAAAAAATATGCAGTGCTTGCATGCTTCTTGTGAAGAGCTCAAATAGGATGGTGTTTACAGTGGAGTGTACAGGCAGATCAGTTGCTTGGCTGCCTGGCTCAGGCCTGCTCTCCTGTTCCCATACACTCGTTCTTTCAGGCTGAATACAGAAGTAGTTCAATGGAAATAACAGGACGGCTCCTTTATTTGCCATCCGTCTCCCTCAGGTAGTTTTAGGTTGAAGAAGCTGATCCAGAGTGAAGGCTGCAAACTAGGTTTAACTGGTAGCTCTCAATATTTCCAAGTCATACTTATGAATCTGGCCTACCTTGTCGTAACACGCATGCACACATTGATGCTACAGTGACATCACATGCAAAGGGTCAATATTTAAAAGATCATCGTGCTCCCTAACACCAGTTAAGATTTAGCCGTTCTACAGCTAATAAGATTGGTATGAAAGTATTATTCTGAGGCTTATTATGTAATTAATAATACAAATGAAGGCGTGGACAGAGATTACAGCTTGTCGTGACTTTGTGGTTTATACAACACTAAATATTTACAGTATTCTAGACTATAAAATATCAGAAAAAGCAGAAATTATAATTACATGTCTTGGGTTAGACGATCTCTGTGCTAGCCTTTAAGCACAAAGTAAAATCTTAATACATGTGTCTGAGTTTATGACACACAATAATTCAAAAAAATTCTTTTTACTTTGGTTATTTCCTCAGGGCAATTTTTATAATTGAGTTTGATTTTAAACATCAGTGTTAAATTTTAAGGGCAATGTAATTTCCAGCTGTCTATATTTTTTTCCTTATGTCTTTTTTTGATCAGAGAGTAAAAATGCAGTTTGAATTAGGATAAGCTCTATTTAAATTATTTAAAATGTTTAATTCCTGAGGGGTTTCTCTTATTTTAAACTAATCTTGCAAATTTATTCAGCGGCCAAGACAAAAGGGAGAATAAATTTAAATTAGATTCTTGAAGCTACAGAGAAAAATGAAATAAAAGCTCAGTTTGCCAGAGATACATTGTCTCTAAAGCAGCAGGTTCACCTGGTACTGAATTACCTCTCATGAAAATCAGACATGAAGTCACTCACACAATACAAAGGGAAAATGTGTCAGGTTTAAATTACAGAAATCTCTAAGGAGCTGAAAGAAAAGAAGAAACACACACACACACACACACACACAAAAAAAAACAATAGACCTTTTTTGCGGCAACCGGAAGCTGTATAAAGGGCTGCGGCACTTCCTGTTTTGGTGACTGTAATTCAAGTACTCTGAAAATGGCTCTCCTCCTCCGGTCCTTTTCATCGTCCTTACTTAAAAACTGGCTTTTACCTTCTCACGACTAATTCACAGGTTGATGGAAGAGAACACAATGAAGAGGTAGTTGGCCCAGGTGATGGTCACTCGGCTGACAGTAGCCGAGTAGCTATGCTGACTTGAAACATGTCAGCAATGAGCTGCTCCTTCATGTCCACTGCAACCCTGAATGAGTACATCAGGAACTCATCAATCAGACATTACTTCTGTGAAGATCAATACATGTTGTGAGTCGGAGCATGTATGTATAGTCATTGACTTAATCTCTCCACAAAATACATAACCACATAAACTCATCATGTGATCATAATAATAACAATATTATTATAGTAACAGTTATATTTTACTGAAATTCTCTTACATGGAAAACATATACAATGTACTATCTTTTACCTGCGGGTGGATGTGCCATATAATCATGGTCCATAGTAGCATCTTCAGCCTGGTTAGCTTTCTGAGAGGACAAACTGCCGTTTCTTAGCCCTCTCGAAATCAGACTCTCATTGCCGGTGCAGTGAAGTTATTCCAGGCAAACAGGGAAGGAACAGCTCCACTTTTAAGGCGGCTGGTGGTGGATCCGCTAACAAAATCCTCCGGTGTGAAGTGGCGGCTACATACGAAAGTGCTCCCCGTCTTTATGCAAAAGTCCGGACCTTCATCTCTTCGGATCGCCTGGATCCACTGCCTCCGTTGGTCCGGGTCCGTCGGGAACGCATGATATAACAGATAAGGCTGTTTTCTTGCCCCACATGAACAACCAGGGACTGAACAAAAACAACTGAGCCGAGACTGAGCCACTTTCCTAACCTTTTAATACTAACGCTATAGCCACCGGAAGTTGTCCGACCCCACATCCGCTTTAAAACCCGGAAGCGTGAAAAAGGTCTATTTACAGAATTGTTTGTTGGATGAAGCAACAGCTTGAGAAAATCTGCAGGAAGAGCAAAGGAAGCAAAAATAAAGAGATCCAGTTTAAATCTTTTTTTGATCTTGCCTTCATTTCTAAAAATTAAATTATGAAAGATGAAAGATCTTTTCAAAAGTTGTTTTTACTTCAATCATGCCTTCTGCGAGTTGAACACTAAAGTATTAGAGGCAGGCTACAAGAATCAATAATAAAGACACCATTTTGTAAAAAAAAACATCTTAAAAGTTACAGGGAAGCTATTTTATTCAGTATAAAACAGCTTAGTTTGTTTGTTTCCTTCTTAAAAATTAAAGTCCTGCTGATGATAATGATTTGATTCTGATTTATTTCTGTTAAGTATTATTGTAACACTTCACAAAATGTTCAACAGTCCTCATTTAATTCATAAAATTATTACTTTAGAAAATAAATAATTGAAAATGAAAACTGAATGAGTTACCTTTTTGAAGAGTTTTCTGCAGGTTAAGATATTGCTTGCTTTAAATCTTTCAACAGAACCCCATCTCAAAGAAAGAACATGTGATTTAAAGGAACTCATATTTGGTCACCAGATAACATTAAATCTGAAGAATGTAAAAACAAGGAAGCATGAGCTGCGTTTTTTAATTTGGTGACATTTGAACGTTTAAAATATGACCGTTATGAAGAGAAAAGGCCAAACCAGATGAGACAAAGGCCAGAAAAGTGATCCATTTCACAAAACGCTGCCCAACATCCTGGCAACCAACCTGCAGCGATAAAGGGCCTGACGCTGCGTGGCGCTTCGTTTTACATTAAGAAACACCTCACCCAGCCATTTCCGCCTGCTGAAAACCATCTGCGTGTTTCTTTGTGGTCATTTTATGAGCTCCGTTACCACGTGGAGCACAGTGTGGCGCAGGCTCAGATTATGTTATGAGGTGGGGGTGTCTGGCACGAAGGCGCGCTGTGCCAGGGCTCCAGATCTTAACACGCTGCCTGAAGCGGATAGATGTGGAGACTTCTGGCCAGGCATGAGCTTCTGCAACCTGGCAGAGACGCGAGAACGGCACGTTGTGTTCTGCTGTCGCAAAAGAAGAAAAAAAAAACAAAAAGAACTCAGCTGCGTTCACAGCCTAGGGGTGAAGGATGGTAGAACATCCAACCCAGAACGAGATGGAACCACTTCCTTTGTGCGTCTGCCTACAATTAGCCACAAAGATGCTGCTGAGGCAAGATAATAGAAAGCCATGTATCCCCTAAAGACCTCACGTATTAACGTACTGATGTCTCCTACATGTCACCGCTGCCCTCACTCGCCTGGCAGCGCGCCCGACTCACCGGAGGGGGCCGTGATTTAATCCAAAAAGAAAACAGCAGGACGCAACATTAGGCTGAACGCAACGTGATGTAATTAGAGAGACGCTGTTAGGAATAAATATGAAGTCTCGTACAGTGACTTCAAACTGCTCTGCAGATGAAGAAGTCGTGTCTTTAAGTGCATTTTGAAGTAAAATTACACCAATAAATCAAAAGGGTGGCAATGAAAAGGAAGCTTCAAAATCTGCAAGACAATTTTTACACTTTTATTTTTCAGAACATTTCTTGCATAAAAAAAAAAAAAAACCTAAATATTGCATTTCTCCACACAAAGTGTAAAATAAAATGTTTTAAGTTAACTCACATTTTGTAGCACCTCAAAAATTAGTTCCTCAATGAACACCATTATGTGCAAATACAGGAAAAAACACAGGAAAAAGTAGTTAAAATAAGATAACTTTTAGTTAGTGTGCAAACCCCCCCAAAAAAAACAAGTTGACAGTTAAAAGTGTTCAGATTGTCCATGGCAGCTTCGAGTCCAGAGGTTAAATACTCTTCAAAAAGCTCTGACTCTGCTGGTCCACAAAATTAAGACCAACACTAAAACTTCATATAAAAACAAAATGTCACAAAATTGGTCCTGAAAAAAGATCCAAAGTGGTTTTAAAAACTAGAATGTGTCTTACAAACATATTTTATTCTTCAAATCTTTAGTATTGTTCAGTTTACATTGGTAAAACCATTGACATTCTTAAACAATTTCACATTAGAACCACAGTTCTAATGGGAAATAGTGGAGGAAATTAGGAAGAAAAATCTGTTGATTTATGTACTTTAAAACGTAAAACAATCTGAATCTATAATTGAATGGTTTAGATCAAAATGGGATCGAAAACTCCAAACTTTTGAGAATTCGCAGTAAAACTTTAAAATTTATCTTCAGAGCTTCGCTCCATAAAATGTAACTGAGCTTGAGAAAATTGTTTTTTTTTTTTTTAAAGTCCGCATCCAGATTTGCAGAGCTGGCAGAGACAAAACACAAATAGCAAAAGCTGTGAATTCAAGGGGCTGCAGTATAGATTTAATCCAGGCATCACTTTTATAATAAATAGTGTGTGATGGTTTAACAAATAAAACCCAGGTCAAAATACTTGCAGGTTTGTGGTCATAACATGGAAAAATGCGAAAAAGCACTGAAAAAACACAAAATCTAATCAAGTATTTTTTTAGTTTCCTAGTGCAAATATCTTATTAAATTTAAAATAGAACAAACCTAAATATTAAGCAACATTTCAGAAGCTTGTATTAAGTCAATAATTCCTTAATATGGATGAAAAAAGTGCTAGATTATTAAATAATCTGCCAGTGGAGTTCTATTCATTAGCACTACAAACTAAACAAAAATACTTGGTAAGATTTGATGTTCTGCAGCGAGGTTCACTGAATTTAAACCTTTAGAATGGCAGAATGAAGTTTATACTTTTAGAAGTATATAACAGCACATAAGGTGGTTGTAAAGCTGTACAGTAAACTGATTTGGGTAACACTTTATTTGACAAGTTGTGAATAAGACTGTCATGACACCGTCATAAACATGACATAACACCGGTCATGAACATGAGTGAGTCTTCATGAATATTTATGACTGTTATCATAAAGTGTCATTCAGTAAATCATGAAAGTTACAAAGTTAACATTATTCAAAATGCTTTTGTCATGACAACTAGACATTAACCAAGAAATCATCTGACATAAATTTGTTATAGAGGTATTACTGATGAAAGTTTAAAAATGATGTAGCTTCATGTTATTAAAGATTAAGTTTAATCGAATAAGTTTGGTCTTATTCACAACCCATCAAATAAAGTGTAACCCTGATTTGAGGTCACATCTGCTGCTGCGCTGAGGCTACGCTCTCATCAAGCCACTAGTGTATGCGCTCCCAAAACTCTACAGGTGTCTATCTCAAATATCCCAGCTGTCACTGAAGTACTGGTCCTCTTCTTCTTCCTCGTCTTCTTCCTCATCTTCTTCTTCTTCTGCCTTTACTTTCACCCTAGTTTCGCTTTTCACCAGCTCATCCGACACATCTATGTCGTCCTCCTGCTGTTCTTCTACCTGGAGCTGCGTTAGCATGCGCTGTAAGGTGGATTTCACCTCCTGAACTTCTTTTTCCAAACACTGTGCAGAGACGGTTAGGGAAGAATCTGATGTTTCAGAGTAATGCATGTTAGTATGTAAAAGGAAAAGAAAAAAAAAAAACACTAAGACAAAATGTCAGGGGAAATGCAACAGTATTAACAGTAATGGTTTGGGACAGCCACTGCTCAATAAAGCCATCAATTTCAACAGATTACTTGGACAGATCATCAAGTTATCCCCACTTTAACCCTATTTAACTCACTATTTATGAGCCCATCTAAACTTTGCAGCCATGCAAGCAGATTGCCAAGTTAGATTATTCATGAACCATTGATGAAACGGTAAAGAAGCCGGGGCAATGGAGGGAATGTTTAATCTGCTTGGAAATGTGAATTAATCATGAGCGTCCGCACTGAGTTGCAAAGCAAAGGGAATGCTGTAACAGCGGAGCAGACAGAGCATGATAGCTTATTTTTCTTTTTGAATAGATGCAGATGTTCTTATTTATAATTAACCAAAAGAGATTATGAATGCTGCAAAAATTAGACATGAGTTTTAGAGGCAACTTTGTCCAACAGGATAGAAAAAGTTATCCTCATTTCACTGAGGTTACCCATGCAACCTCTTGTTACTGAGAGCAGGGCTCCAATTAAGACCAGTACTGTCTGCTGGTTTGATCTTACTGTTACTATGGTAACCGCAGCATCACGGGCAATAGAGTTTCTCTTCAATTTCTGCATCTCCACTGTACTCAGGAGTCCACCACACAACTGCGGAGTGCAGCGAGTTCTTGCTATGAGAAATTAATGACGCATGAGGACTTGGGAACAACGAGGTGGAAAGAAGCAGGTCAGTCCTTGTGCGTTTCCACCTGCCAGTCTGCATTGGTACACGGCCCGTGACGGAGGAGCGCGGACTGACCCCAAACACTTCAGGTAACAACATGGACATCTACAGTCACACTCACTTAATTAGAATATACGTCCTAATGAGTCTAGATCAAATGTACCATTTGGAAATAACAACCCTTAACCAGGTGTTGAGCATACTCTTAATTAAAGGTAGCCAATTATGCTTCCTTGAACATGTTAGGATACGTTTATAGGCCATACAAAACATGTTCATTGACATTTCTTTGGACAAAGTCATTCTATGATTTGCCTATGAATTGTTTTAGGGCCTCTTGTCACTTTAATCCAAATAAGCTGCTGTTAGCCACACCCTCCCCCCTCCTCCATGTGAAAATGGTTGCAAACAGAGGCGCAGTTATAAAACTGTACATCTTTGAAAAGTAGAAGTGGAGCCTCCTGCACATCCAACAAGAATGCAGCATGCTTATATTATTTTACATTTTTGAGTCGTATTGTCCAGCCCTAGCTGACGCCATTAAAGTTTCCATCTGTATTTCCTGTGGCTCCAGCCAGGTTCAGCATGTACTGTTCAGACTAGAAAAGCCAGGTACATAAAAATGTATTATTGTGCATTAGCTGAGAGGCACAGTTAAATAAATATTCAATCACAGCTGACCTTGGTCCAGATAAGATCTCCTGACCACTGTTTGAGGAAATAATTGTTAGTTGGCAGATTTTCTTCATTTTGCTTCTGAAATATGATCTCACTTAGAAAAAGCAGGAAGGGAGAGAAAGGTGGAGCTGGAGAAACACACTAATCTATTTCCAATCAGCTTTCTAATTAGCGCAGAGAATGATGTATTGTGACCTGTAATCAGCCAGAACAGTTTGATTCGAGTCATTATCACGGATATTGTAATTTTCTCCCTGCCAGACCCAGAAAGTGAAATTGGGCAGATGGGGAAAGGGAGAGCATGGGGAGGACGGGAGGGTCAGCTGGAGGATGGACGTTAAGATATGACAGGGCCAGAGTCATTACAGTGACATTCCTCTGTCTGCCCGGGCCCAGCGCCCCATCGGCCCGCTTTAATCTCAGTGCGTCGTGAATGGCAGCGCACATCAGCGGCCGTCTAATAACCTCACATGGACTTTTAGTATTTCATTTTCCAGTTGGCAAAGCCAGTCTTCCAGGAAAAAAACTCAAAACTCTCTGTCTATTCTTTATTCTTTATAAAATGGATTCATGAAATCAGATATGACATTTTTTCCCCCTTTAACAGTAAAATCAGTAAAGCAAACATCCATCAGTGTTTGAGTGGTTTTGCTATTTACTTTTAAGTCAAAGAGAGGATCTGAAGAGACAGACGTAAAGAAACGCAGGATTTTTATACATTTAGGTTGAACTGGAAGGATATGGGTGAGGGCTTGGTCCCGATTCAGTAAAGCCGTCTGCAGTTTGTCCTCCAAGGCGATCAGTCTGTCACCAATCAGCTCGCAGTGCTCCGTCAGGTCTGTAGCGTCGGCCTCACTGCACACATCCTGGACAGTACAGAAAAGGCAGAACGACAAAATAAAAAACTAACTGTTCTGAAATATGTACTTAATACTGAAAAAAACAAAACACAACCATCGTTACCTCAACAGAACGTCATAGTTATGAACCCCATATTTACACAATTTAAAGTTTTGTGGTGAACTGTATGAAAAAGTAAGCAAAACTGTTGAACAAATGATTATCGATTGAACTAATTGGAAAATATGCCAGGCTGCTGTCACTTGAATCCATTCAAGATCTCAAGAGGTGATAGAAACTTCATCAGCACAGATGGAGGTTCTGCATAGCAGACCAGAACTGAAGAAATGTTGACATCAACAGTTTGGAAATATTTCATATATTTAAAACCAAAAACTGGGGTGCTGTGGTGGCGCAATTATATGAAGTTGTTATAATACATAATTTACTATAAAAATGTATTACATGGAGAAAATGTACTTTTTCACTAATTTAGGCGACTTCTTCTTTCAAATATATTTCTAATTTAACCAGTAAAGAACAATGATATACAGAATAATTTCCTTTTGAACCTGCTCCTTGTTATAAAAATGTTTTGGCAACGTCATATTAAATTTATATAACCAGAATGCATCTACACATTGCAGCAGTACAGAGTGTGTTTTTAAATATGGCATCTTGACGGAGGTGCAGAGTGCAGTAGGACAGAGCACTCAGAGTGTAGCTGGCCAAAATTAGACCAGCCTCCTCTGCAGACATTATGTCCCAGTTTCTTAACACTTATCAGGCATAGAGAACACAAACACACACGCTATACATGCAAAAAAAACCCCAACTTTTTCCTCACACTGGGATCCTAATCTGACTCATAGCTCCAGGTAAAAAATATCAGCTCCCTGCAGCTCTGAGGTGTCAGAGCAATCACCAGAAAGTTGGATCTGGTCTCTGCCTGTAATTGCGCACCCCGTTTTGGATGATGCAACACCCCAAAGAATGTAAAACATCAAGAGGCCCGACAATGTGAGCATATCAATCCTGATGCAACTGCAGGATTAAGGAAGAGATACCATCAGTCCACAATATTATTTTCCATGTTTCAGGAATTTTAAGAGGAGAAATAGTAGCATAAATATGTCCTCCAGCTTGTCTTGATGCAATGCCAGGATTGAGGCAGAAATGAGTCAACTTAGTTCTGACTTCGCACAGTAATGGTAGATTTTTCCGTTTCCTCACACAAATCGTTTAAAAATACAAAGTCCAATGAGTATAATTTGCTCCAATTGGTGTTCAAGCCAATCACTATCCATGCAACAAAGAAGATAAACATAAATGAGATTTTAGTGAGATGCTAATTTGCAAGAATGAATTACACCTGTAGTCTCTGTAATTCTCTCTTCATGTTAGTGCTAATATTAAAACACTTAAAGTTGTATAAAGTTGATAGAAATTATGTGTGAATTCAGTAGTCAAACTTATGCATGCCTTAGTATGATTATTTAAGCAATAATGAACAAAAGGCAGAAGGTAATTTTGCAGCTTCCCCCAGGTGTTGTTCTGCCTGATACTTCTCACCAGGCACGCAATACAAACAATTTATATTGCACTGGGTTACACTTGAGGTTGTAATTGGTTTCAGAAAAAAAAAACTTTCCTGCATTCGTGTTAAATAAGAAATCAAGTAGCAGATGATTAAGTACTATCTTCAATTTTCACTGAGATGTTGTTAGAAAATGCCTCCATTTACCATCTATGTTCCGTATAATGCATTAAGTCAATGCAGGAAGATTTCAGGAATTAGAAAAGTGGCAATTATATGTGGAGAAAGATGCAGAATTTGAAAGCTATTGATTTGTTAAAGCTTGTGAATGCTTACAGGTAATTTATACTGCAATATTTAAAAAAAAAAATCAATCCACGGTAAATGGGCTGCACTTTTAGTCTTAATGACTCACTAAAGCACTTATTCTCATTCATCCACTCACACACAGAAGTACACATTCATACACCAGTCTGAAGACTGACATGGTGGACGCCATTAATGTGCAGGAAGCTGGAATCTCTTTCACAACTCCAAGTCAGATCCTCGTATAAATAGAAATACAGGCCACAAAGATCAAAGTTTTTGTCTGCTTTAAACAAAAGCCAGCAGGTTTGTTCACAAATAAACAAATTATTCATACTTCTGGCAGATTTATACTTATAATTAATTAAATTGTATATAAAGAAGCACAAATATGATAGAAATGTGTAAAAGGAGAATCAATTTGGAAAAATACGTGTTTATATTTATATTTTATTGAAAGACTTCATTTTAGGAATCATTGATACCATTCTCAATAATCAGTGGGAAAATATCTATTGGATTTAGAGCAATCAAACCCTTTTAGAATTGTTCAGCAGGTTTTTGCAGGTCTCCACTGGGATTTTAATTATATATCTTATGATGAGCTTCAAGGTCTCCTTATTATCAAACAAATCTTTAGCTTTCTCCACAAATTTTCTGTCAGGTTCCAGTTGGAACTCTTGGTGGGCCATTTTAACACGTTTACATCACTTCCAATAAGAAGAATCATGTTAAAATATAAATTTATATATATTAAAGTGCAACGTGAATGAATAACTCTGGGATTAAATGCAGATTTTGTAAAATTTTAAACAAATACTGGTCTTTCTCTGGCCCATTTTATCTTGGAACAGCAGCTACCTGAATTTTGCATTTCTTCTAATTCTGAGGTGAAACTCAAGGTAGAGATAAAATATTGGTAATATCATTCTACTACTTAATTTGGTGTTAAAACTTTAAGAGTCACTTCATGCTACATTAGTCCTCGCTTAGAAGTAAATACAAAACAGTCAATGTTTCTCCCTTCCAGGTTATTCAGTCAGGATCCAGAATCTGTTTTGGAATCAACAAAGCTAATTATCGAGCCTTCAGCATTTCGGTTTGATTCTTGTTTGCTGTTGTGAACTATTGTGAAGAGGGGTGTGCAAGGACCTTGAGATGATAAAGGAACAATTAGCGGGCATTAAAAGAAAACATAAGAGGGCTAAAACACCCAGACTCACACACCAATCAATCTCCATTGTGGCAGCAGGGCAGCGGCCTGGCAGCAGCTAAGTGGAAATCATTTACTTAAAGTCATTATGGAAAGGAGAAAGAGGTCAGCGCCTCTGCAGAAAATCCGGCTCCTGCACAGCGCTATCACAACACCATGACGAGAACGATACCAGCCCCATTAAACGGCCATCAGATCCTTTGACTCAGTGATGCATCATACTTTATTGTGACTGAATCTTTTTTTTTTTTTTTTTTTGTACGTCAGCCAGATTTTATAACCCAGAGTGATTTCAGAGTTCACAAGGACATACAACCATAATGCAAAGTATCAAACCGCCTGGAGCCCTTCCACATTTCATCACATTAAAAACCCCACAGTCTCTCTAAGTGGAATTTCACATGATAGATCAACACAAATTTCAGCGGGACGTTTCATAACTAATGCCTCTTTTTCACACACATCACTGCACTCTATCTATTAATCTTTAAAAACTGAAGAAAAACTGATAAATGTCTGTTTATTAATGGTTTTAGGTCTACCCCACCCTATCGTTGAGATTTGTCACAAGCTCCTTTGACTCCTTTCGTTCAAGACAGCGCCTACTGATTTGTGGCGTTACAATCTGTAAGGTTTTTGAAATGGCTTATTTTCCAGACAAAAAACTATTTAAAATAAAAAAAAAACGACTGGATGTTTTCTTGTTTTAAATAGTTTTTACTGATTTTACTGAAGTTTCTCAAAATTGGTCGAAATTTTAATTGACTGCTGCCTCAGCCTTACTTCATGCCAAGTTAATTGATAAGGCAAGTGATAAAAAAAATCACATTAGTGCAAATTCCTTACAAGCATTTATAAATGCTTGTAAGATTCATGAAAAATCACTAAAAGAATCACAAAATCCTGGAGGAAAAGCTATTCATTGATACTTTAACCGTTTAATTGGCTTTATCAATATATTTTGCCACAACCAGTCCGATAAGAACATTCAGATTTTCGATACGGCCCAAAATGAAAATGAGTTTGACACCCTTGTTCTAAAGTAAAGTTATTTTATATTTCAAGCTTTGAACGTCTCACAGAGCTCTGATCAATCCATCCTGATCTAAATTTAGTCATTTTGACCAAAACTGAACGTTTTGTTCTAAACAAAATATAAAATTGTTCTAAATAGTAAATCAATTGTGCCCATTATTCAACGTCACCCTGAACACACCATGAAAAACAGCCGTTTGAATGTTTTTTGTCAGGCAGAGTCATGAACTGGCCGTACCTGAAAATGAACAGAGGTAAATGAAGGACAATAAGGAAACATTTGGAAAAGATTTGAAACTGGAGCAGAAATTCACCTTCCAGCAGAATAATGACCCTGAACACACAGCCAGAACTACAATTAGCCAGTATATGAAAGATCTAGATCTAAATATAGAAATTTTGCCCAAGGTAAAAGTCTCGGATTGCCAATTTGACTCGAGCTTTTTTGATTGATCAGATATCAAAATATGCAAAATCGGTTGAGACATATTTAGTTTTTTTTTTTATTATTTCCTTTTTTCTAAGACTATATAGTTGGTGTTTAAGTATTAAACTTCCAGTCTTCCAAAAATGACTTATGATCAATTAATATTTTCAATTTTCCTGTGAACTCAAAAACATGGCCGCCAGCTGGATGACTACACTAGCACCCCGGTCACCAGGCTTAACAAGTTTTCTGGGGTAAACATGCGATACTATATTTTTGGAGGCAATTTTCACGCTGGTGTAACTGAAATCTCATAATTAAGCTTGCAGTACATAGTAACCTTGTACAGGTTGATATTTGTTGTGAGTAAATTTGTGTTTATAATTAAAAGAAACAGTTCAGTTATTTAAAAGTGCTGAAAAGAAACTACAAGTTCAGCAAAGAGACGCCTGGCTTCGTCCAGATGAATAAAAACCAAAGACAGTCTGGGAACGCAGCCAAGGCTTCTCATGTAGAAAATATTGATCTGACATGAGAAAGTTGTCAGGGGTCATGTTTAAGTTGAAGTCAACTATCGAATTTTTATGCATCAACCAAGGTCAATATACTTCAATTAGCGATGACATCCAGCGAGAGCGTTCAGGATACCAACCTCTGGGTGGTTTTCCTCCATGCAGAACAAAAACTCCTCCAGCTTCTGCAACAAAAGAGGGAAACGTTTGATGAGGTCATTCGGTCGTAAACCTGCTCATGAATTATTAAAACTCCAATTATGCCAGTTGAGGGCTCCATGTGTGCAGCATCATCATATTGTGAAGAGGTCGTGATTATTTATCCCCAATTCAAGCATAATAATGAGGAAAAAAAATTAGGAAAACGGATAGTTGTATTATCTTTGCTGCAGGTTTTTATTGTTTGTATTCAAGATATGTAATCACACGTTCCTCACTAAGGAGGGAAGTAATTACCGTTCCTCTTGCAGACCGGCGTATTGTTTGTGGCTTAAGGGAAACTTCATAAGAGAGGCAACAAATAATAATCAGCGGTTTTAATTAAAAACGGAGGCCTCAGACGTTTGTTCCTTTCAGGTAAACACAGCAGACCAGCAGTAATAGTTCATTCACAAAATGATTATTTCCAACCCTGCAGGAAAGCAAACTATGATTGCAGCTAGAAGGTAAAACTGCAACCCGGTTAAGAAAATGTACAGGAAAATTTTAATAGTGGAAAAAGTAAATATTTTGCAAAAGAAATAGATACATTGCACTGGAAAGCACAAACTATCACCAGGAGTTTTTTAATTTGAAAAACATGATTTATTCGGATCATTTGCAAAATATCTCCATTAAAAAGCAATCTTTTGCCAGGAGAAATAGTCAAAGATACATCTCTCTTCATGTTCCAACCTTGTGAAATATTACATTAGGCTAAGTGCTGTCCTATTTTAAATTAATAGCAGGGAAACAAAGTACTTGACACTTGCAATTTGGTTCAAAATAATACAGATTTTTTTCTCCCCACTGAAAAACATCCACATTTAAGTCTAAAATGACCTACTTCTGACATAAAATCTGAATTTATTTGATGACTTTGTGAACATCTTTACCATGGACATGAGTCACAAGATCATTTTTCTTTTCTTTTTGGGTTTCTTTTGCAGAGAAAGCAGAAAACTGAGTATCCTTGACACAAAAAGAGAGAAATGGTTTCCTGTCTCACCTTTTTAGCTGTTGGAGAGACGTTAGGATGGGCCTGGGGGCTTTTGAAGAAAAGAAAGACAGAGAGACAAAGCAGGCGGAGAAATTGACTGCATGCAGTTGGTAAAATGCAGGAGATGGGAGTGGTAAACATCAACGCAGAAGGTACAGCAATGGATCCAAATAGCAGGTTTAAGAAAAGTTAAAAAGGCTTAAAGAGTGCAAGAAAATAAATTAGGTTTAATGCATGCAAGGGATTATTAAATTCTCAGAGAAAGATTATGACATTTTAACGTTTTGCAATGGTTCAGTGAAATTACATATCTGAATGAGCAAAATTATAGAAAAAACGTTGTTTAAATCACAATCTAAAACAGCCAAGTATTAAAACATGTCAGAGTTATTTGTTCCACTGCTGGCTTTGTTCCTGCCTCAGATGAATCTACCAGGCCGTGTGGGCGGAGGGAAGGGCGAGAACAGGAGAGAGCGAGTCCGATTCGACCCTGAGGCAGCGGGACCTCTCTTCTCAGTCGGGTTAAAAAAAAAACTCTCACACACACCTGCTTCACACTAAACACATGTAAACATGTAGAAACCGACTCTGAAATTCAGCGGCGTATAGAATGAAGCTCTTTGATGGCGTCTCCAAATGGCCACCTCCCTCAGAAATGCCTCCGAGCAAACAGGCTAATAGGCTGCTGCTCGACTCTCTGCGGTCGGCAGATTTTCAGGGTCTCACAGCGGTGTGAACTGAAAACGTCCTCTCCAGTCAAGTGGGATGGCTGACAAAGCAAGCATGCTTTATATGAGGCCACGCTTCACACCACTTTACATGTAAAAAAATGCAGCTGAGTCTAAAAACATGTGCTTCAGTTTGACCTCTTGGTGGCAAGCGTAGGTTATGTTACTATCCTGCCTTAAAGCCAGAGAAGGGGGGTGTTATACATTCAAGAAACTTCATATCGCTTATACAGTGCAGCATGGATGTATATGAATAATGCATGTTGTGTTGGTAAGAATACATTCACTGTTACCTTTGTGAACTCTGAGTTCTGCAAGTTGGCCTCAGGACACCAGCGGCCTCCTAACGCAGTCAGCATGGCGCAGTCTTCTTCTTCTTTGGTGCAGGGCTGGGTGGAGGTATAAACTGCAGGATCGGGGACATCATCCATGTCTGAGCCCCCGCAGCTGGAGGTTCGCACCTGCAGGCCTCGAAGGAACAGGTGACACGCTTCCAGGTCGGCTTCACAGATCCGCTCCAAACCGGGACAGCCGCAGCTGGAGAGAGAGAGAAAAGAACAAAATGTTTTCAGAAATTCATCATGACACATTCCTTTTCATTATAAGACTTTTGATTTATTATCCTAACAATAAATCCCAACTAATGTTAAAAGAAAAAAAACTGCCCACAGTTTTACCATTTGTCGTAAAATAATAAAACTCGGGGTGCACTGATTGCAGTTTTTTGACTGATTGCCGATTACCGAACTTTTAAAACACTTAATTTGCCGATTCCGATTTTGACTGATACTAATTTTCTTCGACTGAAATGTTGCTCAATATAGCAAGAAAGTTGTTGAGTTGGCAACAGTGGAGTCACTATTGTTAATTGTAAATGTGCAGACTTAACTTAGTGGGGCGGTCTGTCAGTCAATCGTTTTTCAGCGGAGAGTAAAAGAGGACAGTGGTTGATTCTCAGACCTTTGCCAAGCTGGATTAACTCAGTAGATAAGATTGGCTTCAAATGTAAAAATTGGCCGATCATCGATCTCCCATCTCGCAAAATTAAGGAAATTACGCTATCAATCCTTATTGTCAGTAGTGCTACTTTTACTATTTCCTGCACTGTTTGTTCAGTGAAAACATGAAAAATACAAATACATTTGAAAATACAGTTAATACCTTTTTAAAAATAGAAATGTTTTTAAGAGCAGTGTTTGTGTTTGTGGAGTTATAATTGCTGCGACACACAATAACAGTTCAGAATGCATAATGTTCCACCAAGTGTTTGCTAAATGCTGCTGGCTAGTCTTAAGGAGCTGAGTGGTGGAGATTTGCACATATGGTTGCCTTAGAAGGTTAAAGTTTTTCTCAAACATAAATGAAAGAATCAAAGCAACACTCCATTTATGTTCTTGATAACATTATAACATCGTGTTGATTTTACATAAAACCGCCCCCTTAATAAATTTAAAGCATAAATGAGGAGATGTGAATTTGTGTGGCAGTATACATACAGAACGTTGACAAGAAGCAACTCTAATAAGACCATTAAATAATAATGAGAAGTTAAAATAACTGTGTTAAATTTGGTCACACCATTTGAGTACAGAAGCGCGGTAAAGGACATCTTTAACAGCATCTCCAGATTAAAGCACCGACAGAAGAGTGACGGGAGGAGAGGGAGTCGTTTGGGTTTGGGAGACGCTGACAGAAACGTAACGAGAGCGAATGTGCTCCTGACAGGTTGCCCTTTCGCTTCAAAGAGAGGCGGCATGGAGGGAAAAAGGAGAGTGGATGTCTTCATCTTTCTGAGCATGAAAGAGAACAGGAAGATTTTTGCTCTCTGACTGTTACGATATCTCACTCTGACCTGTAAAAAACTCACCTGGAGATGCAAAACTAATTATTTTCAGTCCATTGAAAGCTTCACTGGTGGCTATGAGTGGTTTAAAATGTAATTCTTATCTTATCCATCTTTTTGTTTAGTGTAGTGTGAAAATCTATACTTTTTAAATTTTGCTTCAAACAGCCTCTCTACACTTTCAGATGGAAAGTCTCATCCTGACCTTTTCAGTACTTTTATGTATTCACCTTCCTCTTTTAGTGACCTTTAGATAACAAATTATTACCAGCTGGCTTCAGTCCCAGCAGGTGACATTTTATGACTTATATCCATTGATCTTCATAGAAACACATTCTAGCTTTAACATATCACACACACACACAAACACATACAGAGACGCTGAACATGTACGACAATGTATTTGACTCAGCCTTTTGTTCAAACATTGAACATTTATGGACATATTTACCTTTTCTGGTCCAAATCAATTTCTGCTTTAAGTGAAACATTTCAAGCCCAGAATAAACCAAGTTTATTTGTGGTTACTAGAGTTTCTAAAAGTGCTAAATGCGCTTCAGTTTTAGATTACAATGAACTGAGGGCCAAAAGTTTTGAAACAAAACTATTTATTTAACCAAAAAAAAAACCGTATTAATCTGTTAGCCTTTAAAAACTAAGCGGTAGATTTGTTTGTTACAATGCTAATGGCTTGGGACCAGAAGACAATGCTAAAAATGACGCACCAAATGGGCTGGCAGACAAGGTATCTCAAAGAAACATACGTATCTTTAGGTTTTGCTCGATATTGTTTGTGAGGATTTGAGTTTTTCTGTGTGTTTATTTAGGTTTCTGTGTTCTGTGGAGTCTCTATGTTGATTCTTACTGAATCACCAAAAACACTTCCTGGTTTTCATGTAACATAATGTTATGTCTCTGTCTTTTCAACAAAGATTTCCTGAGGGGGTTACATGTCAGGAATAAGTTTAATCTCAGGAATGAATCAGAAACTAAACTCAAACTGACATTTTCGCCATCCTAAAGGGAGAAGGATCGTTTGAAAAGTTCGAAATGATGAGCTATAAAAAGTAGAAAAAAATCATCCTCTTAGTCACAATATGCTTAAAGTATTGTCTTTTTACCTAGAGCGTAAAACACTTTTTTCTCTTTCGTCTGTCAACAAACTAAAACACAAAACGCACTCGGGTGATATTGTTTAATCTCTCTCCACTCAGCGACGAGAGTCTCAGCGGCCAAAATTGAATGCCACTTGTTTTGCAGCCCATCTCCCGCCTGAAAAGGCTGCCAACCTCTGTTCCCTGCCAACGCACGCCTCTCAGCTGTTTTCTAACCTTCATTTGGCAAAGAGACAATAGAGAGATTGTTCGTCCCCACCTCCCTGCCCTCGCCAATTTTCTACTCAACACTCGTTTTTCTGAGTTCCTCTAATAGTAGGGATGCACCCAGTGAGCTATTTTTTTCTATTCCTTTGTTTCTTTTGAAGATGAGAGGCACACGCATGCTCACTTGCATGCGTTTTCCTAAATCATTATCAACTGGAGGTTCATGCGTTTCTGGAAAATATAAATATGCCAGAAAATCTTTTCCGAGACTCGCTGTGGAGAGCCGGCATCAAAGCTCACATAAACCCATCAGTGCCCAAGCCTCCTTGTTGTGATGGCGTCCCGGTGCCTGTCGCTATGAACTTCCCACTCAGGGGGTTAATTGGTGGCAGCCGCTCGGTCTTCCATCTGACAGTGGCAGGGTGTGGGCGTGCTGCGCCGCTGACGGCCCAGTCAGAGGAAGGAGAAACACCCAGCTGTCCTGAGGGACCGCAGACTGACAGGACTGCTCTTTCTCCTTGAGGACGTTACGTCTGAGCTCAGAGAGCCGCCGAGGGAGCACTATAAATATATCGAGGGCTAACTGCTGAGCAAAGACGCTCTGGTTTTGTCCTGCTTGTGCAAGCAGGTTTGGTTGGTGCATTAAAGAATCGCACAAAGTTTGTGCTTTCAGCTTTTGGCTTTGGGTGGAAAATAATGTAAAGCAAACACAATTCCCCCTGAGAATTAAAAGCTAAACAGGTAATGGAAGATATATATCTACAGTCCACTGCACTGAACCTCATTGAAAACCTCCTGGTTATTCCAATAAATACTGATTTCTGACTCAAAACATTAGCATTGTTGTTTTTAAATGTTTTATTTGACTGCATCTTTTTTGGTCTGTGATTTTCTGTAAATAAATACAAAATTTTTGCTAGGAATTTCAGAGCCATGTTGTCAGAATAAAAACATAGAATAAAAACAATTTTCATTTTATTCAAACATATACCTATGAAGAGTACAATCAGAGAAACTGATCTCTTCTTTTTTCCAGAGCTGTGTATCCAAACGAGAACTGAATCGGATTAATTATGATTTACTGATTGAAACTAATTTAGTAACCGATTAATCGCTACCTGCAAAATACAGATTCAAACACACTGACTTTTTTACAGTCAGTGTCCCAATATTCTGACTTCTACTCTCAAAATAATGCACAATGTCATCATATGCCTGCATAATAATCAAAATTCCATCCAGCTGCTGAAAAAATCAGACATGAACGAGGAAAACCTATCAAAATGCAGTTGGCATTCACACTTTAGAAATGGATGTCAATGTTTCATCTTAGCGTTGTAATTTCCAACACAACCAGCTGTGAAAAAGGTGTTGATAACACTGTGAAATAAAAGAGAGGGTCTAAAAAGGTAGGAGAGACAGATGGGGAAAGAACAATGGCGACAGCTTTTATTAATATTACATGATATGTAAAAGACCTCAAACTTACATTTATCGCTTTTTATATTGATACACTGAAAGTATTTGTAACTATTAACCAGAATCGTTTAAGAACACAGGTACTCCCAACAATTACCTGAAAATAAATGTAACCAAAAATTTTTTATTTGTGTTTTTTCTTTTTGAAGTTAGAAGTAAAAGTTGGACTGGGACATTTATTTATTATGCCATAAGCCACAGAGAAGATCATGTTTTTCAGAAAACCAGGTGGAAAGGGCAAGAAATAAAGCACTGCACACACAATGTGAAGTACGGTGAAGGATGTGTAATGCTAAGGGGCTTTTTCTCTCCCAAAGGTTTTGGGAACATCAACTGAATGCATGGCATTGTGAAGTCTTTCAAATATTAACAGATTTTATGCCAAAATCCAATGAAATTAGGATTTTTATTGTTCTTCAAGCTGCATAGTGACCCAAAACATTTGATCAAATCACCACAGAACTAATTCACCAGATACAAAATCCATAATATTCTGCATTTTCCAGCCTCTTAAAGATGCAAAAGCTAATGGTTGCCTTATTAAAGTCATTTCATCAAAGTATTAATAGCGTGTATTCAAATAATAATTCAACTAGCGAATTTGTAATATGTACTTGTCCTCACTGGTAAAAGATTTCAGTGTGAAATTATGCTATTAAAGTAAAGAATTAACATATTTTGAGGCATTTTACACATTTTAGATTTGGTTCTTCTTGGAGATTATGTACAAGTGAATATTTAGAGTGCATTTCAATAATACTGACATTTATGAACAGCAAAAACTGAAGAAAAGAGTTTTATACTGGTTAACCTTTCCAGACCAAACGGATTGGCGACGAATTTGCCAAATTTCCAATAAGAGAAAAATATCCAGGCGGAGATTTGAAACTTGGGTCTTACAGGGTTAAACAGAGTAGACGAGGGCAGTAATGGTCAGAAATTTAAGAAGAAAGGAGAATTTTAGGTTTGAAAAATGCTGAAATTATAAACAATTTTTAAATATATTTTTTTAACGTCATAGATATGTTTCAAAACCAAAATATTTCCCAGGCACTAATAAGTGGATAACTCACTATGTTCTGTAAGTACACGTCCATTCACGGATGTGTAGGTTTTCTAAATTTATGTTGTGATTTTGCAAAATTTTCCTTTTTTTTTTCTTTTTGCTTACATGCAAACTGCATATCTGCAACTTCTGCAAGAAGAACATGCTTGAGCATTTTAATGACTTCCACACCCAGCTGGTTTGCATTTATCATACATGATAAATAGCAGCCGAGTCTCTGCAAAGGAAGGAGCGTGAAAAAGTGGGACAAACACAAGAAGCACTTACTAATGAAGCATCTACATAATGCTTTAAACAACTCCGAGGTGAAGCTAATTTGAATTAAATTCGTTTTTGTCTGGTGACACACTTAGCAGCTTCTGCACTGCTCTATTATTTTTCTCGTCCTCGGTGTGGAGATGATAGTTTTTATTTTTTCAGAAGAATCCGTCACCATAGAGACTAGACACTAATCTACCTCTTCACCACTGTCTAGAATATTTACAGTGACTGATAGGTGATCTTTGCATCTATATGTGATGTATTTACCAAGAATAAATGTGTTTCTGAATAACAGAGCCTTTTGAAAACTTAAACTTCCTGGTTAGATTCAATCAGGCTGCAAGAAAGCAAGAGAGAGCAAGACTTCTACTGAAGGACGATTATTAACTCCTTTAACTCGTTGCTGTGACTTAAAAAATATAAATTTGGTCCATTCACCATCAGTGAATTCACATATCAGGTCAAAGTAACAGCAACACCCGTTTGTTTAGCATTTTGTGCGAAAACACAAAATATTAGTTCACGTATCTTAGTACTCTGGAAATAAAACAAAACTAATTTACAAGAAACTTTTCAGCAAGATATAAGAGCTTGTTTTAAGTAAATAAAACTCTTATAAAATGTCTTATGATTAGATATAATCTACCACTGAAACTTGTTTTTTTTAATCAATATCAAGGAATTATTTACTTAAACAAGCTGCTATATCTTGCTGGAAAGTTACTTGTAAGTTGATTTTGTCTTAATTCAAGTAATAATATATTTGTTCTTGATATTTGCCAAAAATACTTGGCAGGATTTCATGTTTTTGCCATTTTTAAAGGTTATTAGTTAAGACTCTGAATTCATTGTTTTAAATATTAGTGAAGTGATTAATCAAAGTAAAGAGAATCAGAAAAGCTGTCAGGAGCTTTTTTTGTTTTAATTGTATTTTCTGACACATCTGAAATCTGTACAGGCTGTGAGAAAGTGAGACAGAGCACGACTTTAATCAGGTAACTAGAAGCTGTTTTAATCTCTTTGAACTCTCAACTTAATTCAGTTTTTAATTATTTCCATTAAATGTTTTCTGAATTGTTTTACTCATTTTATCTGATAAATTTTAGTTTAATTGGTCAAAAATGGTCCTTACACAATCAATCATTTGATTACTGGCATTAATTATTCAATCTGTCTATTAACATCAAGAAAGTTTTTTTTTTTTTTTTTTTTTTTTTTTACATTTTTCAATCTTTCAATAAAATCTGTTGAGATTAGATGCAAGGTTTACAGGTTGGTTAAGCCAAACAGTCGACTGGTCAAAGTAAGACGCAAAACAGATGAATACTTCAACACATCGGGTAGAAATAGAATATTTAAAGGGTTAATAAAAGAAAACATGAGCTCAAATACTTTAGACCACATGTCAAACATTTGAGATCTAAAAATTTGTTTTTATTTTAGACTGTTTGAGATTCAGCGTTAATATTATTCATACTTTTAATACAAAGTAAGGAACACAACAAGCTATGTTGACAGAAAGTGACTCATTTCTGTCTGGCACAAACTCCTCCAGAGGTGACTCTGTCTGATAAAGGATGCACACAGGAAGCCACGAAATGCCAAGAAGAAAAACAGGATATTTGATTAAATATTGGTTCCCGTTTGGTCCTGTTAACTCAAGTCCTTTTCTAGCAATTTGGTACAAATTGTTCTGCAACAGCTGAAGCAGTTCTAGTTTGGTGGAAAACGTAAAGTGGGTGTTGAATTTATTGACTCTGTATGTCAAATTTGCTAAATGTGAGCAAACACAACAGGAGGATCCACTTCAGAAGTTTCTTTGCAGGAGAAGAATGTGAGGGAAGATAGAAATGAAGGTAAAGACATAAAATACTTTAGAGGGTGAGAAGATGAAGACAAAGTGCAGGTGAGAGACGTAGTGAAATGTGAGAAAGCGGCTCTGGGAAACAACAAGGTGTGGCTGCACGGAGCTGTCTATGAGGTGATGCATTGAGGAGACGGCGATCTGGTTAGAGGACGGCAGAGGTGAGAGGAAATTCCTCGGAGGGCTCTGCTTTGTTTATGTCTTCCACTTGAGGAACACAGAGAAAAAGAGCAGCCGTACCTCTGCAGCCTGTCCTCCAGCAGCTCCACATACTTGGTGGCGTTCTCTTTCAGCCGGCTTTCTGCATGGAGACAAAGGCACAAAAAGGAAAACGTGTATTGTCACTTTCACTTTTATTCGCCGGCTTTTATTGGCAGAGATGTGGTATCCTAGCAACAAATCATGTTGCTAATACTATTAAAACCCACTTGTCATTAGCTCTGTTATATGGGCCTTTTCAGGAAAGGTAGTCATCATCGCACTTGGCAACAGCATTGTGCAGAGAAACTGCAACAGTACAAAGAAGCAGCTGGTTCTCCTCTCGCTAAGCTAGCACACATCTGAGGAGGGAAACAAATTTCATGCAGCCTGAGGAAGTCTCAGGATTTCATCATGGTGCCGCTCCTTTTAACCTGCCAGATTTTTCGCAGGGCACAAGACGGATGGATGGATAGGTAGCTTATGGTGCCGTTTCCTGTGCCCTCCTGCCAGCGGAGAGCCGTGCCCGAGGAGGCAGGTGGAGGACGCAGAACGGCGTTCGGTTTGGAGACGAGGGCAATCTGAGCACCGTTAATGAGCTCATGTATGAAACATGAGAATATGCCCCACACAGCAGGAGATCCTTGAACACAATAGGATGCACTTTAATCAAATTGCTCCACATATATGTAGTTAAGCACAAAAAAAGGAAGGTTATAGCTGAGAAAATTTAGTGATGTCAGAGTGAAAAGACAATCTATGAAGGATTCTAACTTATATTAGACATATTTAGGGTTGTTAGGGTCAACAATTTTTCTTAGACACTTTTCTATTTTATTTTTAGCTTTCTATAATAAGTTAAAAAGTGGAATTTTTTTCTTAGCAAAAAAATATGTTTTTGCTCAGATTCTCAGCAAAAATACAAAATCTAAGCAAGTATTCTCTAGTGCAAATAGTTTTATTTCACTTTAATTGACACAAAACCAACTTACAAGTGACTTCTCAGCAAAATATAGAAGCTTATTATTCATTTTAAAAAATACTAGCTCCACTGGAAGATTTTTTTCAATAATAATGAAAGATGTCTTGTTATAAGTGAAATAATCTGCTGATGAAACTAGTACTTTTCATCAAAATTCAGGATTTAATGACTTAAAACAAGCTACTGGAACATTATGTAAATAAGATAAAACCAAGCGAGAAACAAATCTTTAGCCTAACATCTAGATGTTTCTGTTTTTACCAAATGTTTTGGTTAAAGTTGAAGACTGTAACTTTTAAAAAGAAAATGTTTTATACATATTTATTAAAACTGCTGGTATGTCATGGGAATAGGTGGAATAGCTCTTCCCAAAGCGACTTTTGCCATATGAGGAAATGCATGAAAAACAACCAATCAGAGCCAGGAGGAGGGGCTTAACGTTATCAATGTTTCTGCATTGACAAAAGGAAACAAGTGACTGAGTTAATGTGTTACAAGTGACCAAATAAGTTTGTCCAAGTAAATATATCAAGTTTATGAAATGTAAATAAAGTACGTTTGACAAACCTTCAGGATTTGATTACATGTAACAAATTAACTCTTTTTTTTTAAGTTGGGTGTCTATTTTCTTTTTTCAGTGTAGTTAGCAGTGAAAACACATATTTTAGATTAAAAAACTAAAAACTTCACAACTCATTTTGTGTTTTTCCACACCCTGCTTGAAGTTTGAGCTCCAAAAGAGATTAACCTGATAAATCTGTGAACGCGTTTAACACTTCATGCTTTTCTCCAAGAACAAATAAGCATTCTGTGAAAAGACACTGTACTCCTGCAGTTTCAGCAATGTCTCGTCCAACTTAGCTTTGCATTCACTTCCTTTATGTCTGACATGAAATAAATACGTTATCTTTTTCTAGAAAACTCATTAAAAGTTTTACAGAAAAACTTTGAGAAGGTATTCTCACAGACAAAAAGAAGAAAGCACTTAATTTTAAGTCTAAATGGATATGAATGGATACTACTTCAGTTTAATCCCACTCATCCATCTCACACTGAGCAGAATCCGCACCAAAAACGTCACCTAATTGGACACTCTGAGTCACAGAGAGGTTTGAGTTATAATTGTATCATTGTCTTGATGATGGTTATTAGACAGCTTCAGCTCAAGGATGTGACAGGCTTTTCTCAGCGGGGAGAAAAGGAAACGTCTTGGAGAACGTGGCTGTGACACACACACTTCCACACACCCACTAACACAGATTACTGAAATAACTCAGAGCTGGAGACAGTAGGGCTATTTACGAGGAGGCGTAAGTAAAGAAGTGAATCTCTCCCTAAAGTTTTTCCTCTAAAGTAACTAAGTCAGATTAATAGAGTAAGGCATGTGAAGGCTTCCATGTGTGTGCAGGTGATCCAGACAGTTCACTTGCCATCCATCAACTAATTGCAACGTTGCAGAGATCCTGTCCCACCTGACAGAGTCTCTCTTGTCAGATTCCATTCATGGCAACCCCGCTAAGCAGCCTGCAACGGGATAGCTGCTGAATAATACATGCAAGCTTGAAGCCTGACACTGAATGGTACAGCGCATGCACATGCAAAATGACAAAGCAGGCTCTTCATGAGACAAAACTCGATTCAGAAAATTATTTACAACCAGATACATATCAAAGGAGTCACAGATCCAACTGTTCACTTAAACATGTTAGGTTAGATGTATTATCTATATGAAACATTTCTATTGTATTTTTTGCACAAAATCAATCTTAGATAATGAAATGTCAGTCAGTTTTGCCCATTTGGAGCAATTCAACGTTAACACTCGCAGATGAAAATGGCTGCAAACAGATACACAATTATACAGTCATACATCTTTGAAAAGCATTTGTAGAGCCTCCCACACAACCAACAATAATGCAACAAGAGGTTTCTGAACGGTAAGTCAATAACAAAGCATGTAAGCCATTGTGCAGCGCATACATCGATAAAATCTACTGAGCAAAAGGTAACGCTTCAGTGACCATTGAATGAGGGAGGTTTTTGAAATGGCTCATTTTCGAGACACCAAAAAGCTTTAAGTAAGTAAAATTGAATTTTTATAGTACCTTTCACAGACATATAGATCACAAAATGCTTCACATGAAAATTCAAACAAAAATAACAAAAATGATAAAAGAAAAACAAAAATGTCTTTAGTTGTTTCTTCTTTTTTTTAAAAGAAATCTATCCCCATTTGACTCAAATACATCATAGTTCTAGATGAAGTTAAAAGATGAATGTATTTAGGAACCTGGCTGTGGATGGCCTTCAAAGTTAAAATCTAATTTTTTTAATTAACCTTAACAGTGCAGGGCAGCGAGAACAGGAGTTATGGGCTTTTATTTACTTATTGTCAAAAAAAAAAAAAAGATCTGGGCGTTTTCTTTTTTCACCCTTTGGGCTGTTTCTATTAGCAGTAGAAACCCAAATGGAAGTACAAAAACATGCAAAATGCAAATTTTGCATCATAACGTCTTTCAAAAATCCCTCCCCATGTTTACACTTGGTGCATGACCCTGTCTCTATGGCAACCAGTCGGGTTAGAGAACCATCATTTGGGGAAAAACTATTCTCCCCTAATAAAGCGCTCCCTTCTCTCCCCCCGCTGCGCCCACCGGGTGATGTTACCACTTTCTGTACGTCTGTGGGAGGCCGCCATCATTGGCAGGCCATGCGGATAAAATCAGCACTAAAGAGGGAGGCACTCGGCTACTCGGCAACACGCGCAGCGGTGTGTTTCTGGTGCTGAAGGAACTCCACAAAGCCACTCAGAGAGAGAGAAAGGCTGCATTGGAAATTCATGAGCTCTGGTTGCTGTCGCCCCAGTGATCCCAGCAGGCGTCAGACGTCACTGATTGCTGCCAAGGGCCCCGGCCAAACTGGGAAGAGGTCGTTCGTTCAGAACACAAACAGAACCGGGACGCTTCTGAGAGATCAGGAGAATGAGCTGCACTCAGGTTGTTACTTCCTAATGGTGAACAGAGACGTAACTGAGTTAAAATTCTCTGCTCTTTGCCATGAAGCACAAACTTACTCATTCTTTTGGCAAAATGGTTTCAAATCAGTTGGAATGGATGGAGACCATCCACAGTTTTTAAGTTGAATTTGGGTGTGGACTTTAACTAGACCACTGTAACACATTAATTATGCTTTGATCTCCTACTTCTCAGATTGCATTTTTGAAGGTTGTTGACCTACAGGAAAGTAAATCTCTACATTACTCACAAATCTATTGCAGTACACTGTAAAACACTTGAGCCACATTTACTTTAAGTTTTCTATTCTTTAAGTCAAATAAATTCAATGAGTTTTAGATTTTAAACATAAATGTGTGAACGTTTGTGAAAGAGGTTTTGTCAAACCTCCAAGAGTTGAATAAATCAGAGTTTCAGTTAGCACTAAAAAAAAAAACTGAAAGAAGAAAAAGACGGGAGTTGGAACTATTTCCCAGAATGCTTAGCAGCGGGTTTTTGTATCCTGAGATGGATCTGACCCTTATATGTTATTAAGGCAAATGTTTATTTTAATGTCTTGTTCACGCTAAATGTTTTTGAGCAGCATTCATTGCGGTGTTTAATAAAATTCATCATCAGATAAGAAATTTTGTTCATGTGATTTTAAATAATAATTTCAATTATTCTAAAGTAAAATAATTATTTTACCTTAATTGTGTGAGTAAAATAACAGAGAAATGTGTGCTCTTTAATTAGGTGAGGACAGTTTTTTTTAATTATTATTTAGTTTAAATTGCAGTATTAAGTTGCAGTGTAATAATTTCTCTTCCAAACATTTTATTTAGATCATTTGATGCTGCTGATGTTGAAAGGAGTTTTTCATATTGACCTCTTCCACATGTTTGCTGTGTCTTGGACTTTTCTGCCTCTCCACCCTTTTGCACTCCCTTAATTTGGTGAATCACATAAACAAATCCAATAAAATACATTGAGATGAAACAATAAATGCCTATGAATGCTTGTGCAAAGCATTGTGAGTCAACCTGCTGTTATTAACATATAAATTTGTAATATATGCATCTAGACATCTTTTTTGGCTTAAATTTAATTAAGCTTTACATTTTTCAC